AGGATTTTTATGCAAAAAAAAAACAAGCCTAAAAATATGTACTTCATCACTATAACTTTTGCGTATTTCGCCACAGTACAATTACTGTCATTGCATCTAATGGTCTCAATATAAGCAATATTTCTATTATAATATTTTGTTATATTGAAGTTATCATTACCGGAGATTTAGAGTTGTTAAGCAATACTTGACTGAGGTATGAGCCTAGTTTTATAAACCCTTCAAGCACATAATCGAATCGTCGAATTTCATCTTGTTTTTACGTTTAATATTGGTTTGAGCCATTTTCCTTCACTTTCACCTGCTCAAGCATGCATTCTGCTAAGAATGTCATTTGCTTTAACACTGTTTTAAGCCACTTAACGATTACTTAACATTTTTCAATGAATTCATCTACTTGATGAATGGTCAGCGGGTTCTTACGAACCAAATTAAGTGTGTGTGCAAAACAAGGGGTATGCCCTTTCCTGCCAAACGTTTCATGAATAGCTTTTACAATATTTGAACCATTGTCGGTTATTTTACGGGCGCCATATTTCGGTTTGTTCTAGTATTCAAATGCATTCTGGCCAACTTTCAAATATAAAACATCGTGCAGCTTAAGTGTGTAATCATTTGCCACACTTATGCTGGATTTCCTCTAGGAATTCTGCCTTATCCTGAGTTTCGCCCGAAAAAAATTCACCCGAAAAATTTCCATCCGCCCATAGTAAATATGTACATGGAAACCAAAAGTGAAAGGTCAAACGGTTCGGGGAAAGCTAAACTTATGATAAGGCTGATTAAATGACAAAATGGAACAAATTTTTAGTAATTTCGTTGCCTAGTGGAAATTCAGCATTCGGTTTGCAGCTTTTATAATTGGCTTAAAAGCACAACTATTAACATTACAATTATTAGAAATTGAGCAATTCTAGCGGCTGTTTGCAATTTTAGACAATTACAGAATTCACATTTCTTGAAAATATTTTTACGATTATTTTACAATTATTATATATGTAGCTCAAATCGAAAAAGAGACTCAATTGAACTTACATTAAAGTGATTAATTATCCGTATCGCTTTTCTTAGCTCCACAACCAAAAATAAATACAAATAACAAGTATTTTGTTCTCAAAAAATATCAGAAAAAAATCCAAAAATTTATATCTTGTATTTTCTAGTATCAATTAAAAAAATTAACAAAATGTATATTGAAACTAATTTTTTGAGACGTATAACGTATTTTTATTTATTTTTCTTGCTTTACAAGACTTCACGGTACATACTTATGCATACTTTTACGCCTATCTTACGGTACTCAAATTTCACAGGAGAGCGAAATGGCTGTTTTTCTTTGAAGGCATTGACTTTATGGCGAGTTTTTCTCTAGCTATTATTTTACAAATCTGTGGTTTTAATAACGATTTCAAAATTTGTATGCATACATCTCGATGCCTGGAGTTCAGGGTTACCAAATCTCGTTTTTGCCACAACGGCGACTTAAGCAGTTTTGCAACTGGTCGATGGGCGGTTTTGCAAGCGCATCGACGATATGCAAGAAATATGAGTTTCAAAAAATACAAAAATTTGCCTCCTCTATGAATCCTTTACGGCGCTTTTATTATCCAAATTACGAGTCGGCACTTGTATATTTTGTATACCAATTGTGTGAAAAATAATAAAAACCAAATAAATACAATTTGGCTACAACTGTAGCTTTTGAAGGAATGCACATACACTTGTATATATGTACACACATATGTGCATAAATATGTACATATGTATGTAGGTACGAAAAGTCCAAAAGCAGTGAAATGTAGTACTTTCACTAAACTATTTTATTTTAAATTTTAAAAGCAGGGAAGGTAATCATTATGAGTAAAATAGTTTAAATCAGCATTTAATTACTATTTTATGAATTATTCTTGAGTTTTATTTTTTCGCTCAAACGGAAATAATTGTTATTTGATGTTTATTTTTGGGATTACAAATAATGATTATTTTATAATTTTTATTTTTTTCGCGCAGAGATTATAATTAATTACAGACGCAACCTACTGAAATTTTGACTTGAAAATTTTGGGTCTTATTCCTTTTATAAAGGTGCGGCTACCTCTCAAAAGGTATAGTTTTTGAGTTGCTTAATAATCATTATACTTAGTGATTCCATAAACAAAGGCCAAGATCCTGAAGGACAATTGATAAAGGCAATGCAGTTGCCGAAAAAGAGCTATTTAAAAAAAGTGTCAAAATAAGTACCACTTTCTCACTAAACTTATTTAAAAATGCCACCGGAGCTACCTTTTTTTTAAGAACGACAAAAATTTTCGAAGTACTTCATATACATATAAGCTTAAAAAGAACTGAATTTACTTAAAAATCAATATGCTTAAATTTAGACAAGTAAGACCAAGTGAACTAATATTTTCACTTTTAAGCAGAACGCACTTTTGTTTTTTACTTACTACTTAAGTTTAATACTACTACTAAATGTAGTTTATACATTTTTAATAAATGCGCTTAAACATTTGTGAGGTCGCTCAAAGCGCTCAAAGTTTTCCATGTATTTTATATGGGGAAAAAACAACTTTTCGTAGAAATGCTATAGAATACTGGAAAATCATAATTTTTCAAACGGAAAACTCTGTTTCTCTTTATTATTTATTGTTTATTTAACCATCTTTTCACAGTAACTATCCATATTTTATTGGTCGGCCAAAAACCCCAAAAATGCAATGGGAGACCAATAAAAAATCTATAGTTTAAAAAATGGGTAAATAAATAAATAATTGGGTATTATAATTGGAAGTCTCCGGAAGACGACCAGAATTCTATACCATTTCTACGAAAAGTGTTTTTTCCCCTACATGGAAAGCTTTGAGCGACCTCTGAATATTTTTTGATTTCCAAATAAAAAATAGACGTATATTTTTCAATATAGATCAAAACCTATAACAAATGTTAATAAAAGATTTAGATTTCCAGTTGACCCTCTTATTCATGTGGATAATACTTATTAACATATAAAATAAATAGTTTTTTTTTAGTTTTTGCTATTCAACCCAAAAGGGCTCCGACATGAGTCTAAGGGCCTATTTCAAATGAATATGTAAGCGGCACTTAAGTTTAATTTTGGATTTTTATTTAAATGCCATTTAACTTACGTTGGGTTTCACATCAATTTTATTTAAATATGCCAAACAAGTAGCAACACTATTGGTTGCCCCTTGAAATTGTATTTGCATTTGCTTATCTTTTTTTACTGAACAACTGATTGCTTCTTGGCAAGATTGATAAAACAACGTATCTACATATCAATCTTGGTTGTTTGGTACGAACACAGGGTTGCATATCTCATGATCTGAAAATTAATTGTTGAGGTTAATCAACAATCATATTCAACAATTTTTATTGAGCTCGAGGCCGTTTTTTAACGAAAATTTATTGTGGAAAAGCAAGCGAAATAGTGGAAATCAGCAACAATAATTAACAAGGCGAACTCAGCACAGTGCGTAGGCAACTGGCTGAGTCAGTGGGATCGTCGGTTCGAATCCCACTGAAAGAAGTCTGCTGAGGAAATGTGGTTATTTCCGAAATAGCTATCACTTCTACAATTTTTTCAAATTATTGTTGCTTTTCCACAATAAATTTTCGTTAAAAAACGGCCTCGAGCTCAATAAAAATTGTTGAATATAATTGTTATAAGGCCATAAAATAACAAAAACAATTAATCAACAATCTCTATTTAAAAATGCCGTCTGCAATTGGGCCTAAGAGTCTCATATAAGTCCCCCTACGCCAAAAGGGTCAGTCTCTTAAATGAGCTCATTATGAGCGTAAAGTCTCCGAAATAGAACTCCTTAATGAATCATTTAGAGTAAAAATTTGTGAATACAAAATACATTGGGCGTCAAGCGAAAATCGTGAATAGCTTTCGTCTCGATGCATTGCGGCAAACAAATTTTTTCTGCAAATAATTACTAATAGAACGTACAACAATATTAGCCCAAAACGTGATTTTAAAGCCATTAATATTTAATATTTAAGAAAAATTTATAATTTTTATAAAAAAAATGTATGATAAAAAAAATGGGAAGAAAACCCCATCACTCTCAGCTGTTGAAATATGAGCAGAATCAGTAGTACCAATCGCGAGAAAACAATTAAAATCTAAACAATTTCGAAAAAAGTGAATAGCTATAACTTCCAAAATAATTCGAATTTCGAAATATTGTGAAACTTGTATTTTTCTTTTATCCTTATGAAGCATAAACGGATAATTGCACAAAAAAAGCCCGACCTTCGAAAAAATGGTGGCCCACTTCACAATTTTTTACTCTTATGATTTCTTTATTAACTAAAAAATCATTAACAATAAACAACAAAAAAATTATAATTTAAGAATTTCATGAAATAGTAACATCTCCGGGACTTTGGCGAAAATCTATCGTCGCGTTTTTGAGAAATTGCATTCCAAACTTTAATCACGATTCTCCAAAATCTGCCGAATGTAACGTACAACAACCTTTTATCCAGGCAACGATATATGTATACCTATCGTCGTTTAAAGTACAAAACCGCGTATCATCATTCTGCAAAACCGTGTAACTGACATTTGCTGCCAAAAATTGGATTTGCTCACACAAGCTCTTGGTTCTATCCTTATCCGTTCGTCCTGAAATATACTAGCCAGAAATGCGATTGCTTTATAAAAAATAAATATGAGTGTTTTTACTCTCTACAAAATAATTTATGCGACCTCGCATACGCGGTTTTGCATATTGTTGATACGCGGTTTTGTACTTTAAGCGACTATATTTTGAATTTTCGAAATTAGTTGCACCTGAATATTAAAACAGAAAAGAAAACACATTTTCAAACAATGTCAAATAAGACATTTCGCGTTGATGATGACGATATGTACATACATATGTACACAATTTCCATTTATAGAAAACGTCCACTTATAATGAGTCTTAAAATGAAATACATACAAAAATGATTCTTTCTTTACATACCTCGTCTAACAATGTGCTATGCATCTTTACTGTTTGTCACTTTTCCTTTTGTTTGGCCCACTATGCTCTTTACTCGTATATGTATGTATGTCTATGTGCTACTATTGAGGATATGTAATATAATTATTTGCACAGTTGACTAAATGTGATTCACTTAAAACTTGAATGAATAATCATGCTAGCATCCAAATGTACATACACAGTAGTATATATATACACACATATGTATGTATATATATGTATAAATGTATAAAGTCTTAGTTTTTAAACGCGTATGTTTTTGTTTATTTCAAAAGTGCTTTGAAAGGGATTCCATAAGAGCTAGTATTTGTTACTCAGGCAAAGAACTATTCGATTTGTATTCAAACCACCTCCACGTTTAGTTTAGAACTGATTTAAAAATGTTTCTTGCTCTCCCTCAATGTTTTTGCTACACCGACGCACAGTGTGGCGGAGTCGCTAAAAGGTGATACAAATATATTAGACGTATGTATTTAATGGACTTAGAAATATCTTTAACGGAGTAGTTTCTTATTTTTTAACCGACTTCCAAAAAAGGAAGAGGTTATCAGTTCGTCGGAATGTTTTTTTTTTTTTTTTTTATGTATGTTACGTCAACCGATTTCGATAATTCTTTTTGCATCGGAAAGGTAGTGTTTCAGAGGTGGTCCCATACTAATCTGGTTAAGATCCGATCAGTGGATCATGAGATATATATATATATATATTTTTTTTATATGAGAGTTGAAGTAGGTTTTGTTTTGCTAAAAATTACTTGTTTTTACTAAAAATACCACTCGCACAATTTATTTATTTTATTCATTTATTATTATTGTATTGCACTAGGTCAACTATTTTTGGAAATAATAAAGTTTTAACTTACAGGCACAATTTTGGGTACACGGTCACAAAGGGTTATATATATTTAATAATTTCTTGAAAGCTGCATCCGGCCATGATTTTTTGGTATGCAAATATATAATCGCATATACCACAACTACATATGCACTAAACTACGGAATCATTCGGAATTATATGACTCTTTTATTAATTTATCATAATATATTTTATTTTAATTGTATAAATTTATAAGTTTGTAGGTCGATTATCGACCAACTGAAGTACCTCTTTCAAAACTACTGACATGCCAAATTTCCAAATTGAAGCCTTTGCCGTGAGACCTCCTTTTGCGAAAAATCGAATAGCAGCTTTAAAAGCTCAAACAGTCAACGACGTAACGTAGACGTAGGTTGACGCAGATACGATCTACCTTATGGGATTCGCGTGTTAGCGAAAATTCACCACCGCATGGCGGTGACGTTGCCGTTGCTTCTCTCTCTCTCTATCAACAGTAAATTTGATATGCTGTTACGTACGCCAACCTACGTTTACGCTACGTCGTTGACTAACTGCGCTTTAAGGAACCGAGGTATTGAAGTTGAACGAAGTCATTCCTCTATATATTAGCCAACATGCTACAGCTTTTGGAAGTTTGGGATATGCTTTGAATCCGAACATAAAAAGATAATAAATGAAAAACCTTCAAAGCATTAACTTTTGCTTACAACGCATTTAGTAGCTCTAGAGGATGGAAATTATCCCTCAAATGTCGCCTGATTGAGGCCGCGTTCATGCGCTGCTCTTCCTTTTCAAAAAATAGTTCACTGAACTTAGAGTTGTTGCATACTTTTATTAAAAAGTCTTGGATTCAATAATTTCATTTTATTATAGCACAGCTTGTTTACAACCACTTGCTGGCTGCCGTACTGTCAAATTTCGATTATCGATGTTGCCAGCTGGCAACTGAACCGTGGTTGCGTTTCTATCCGTAATCGGCCCATTAAGAAATAACTATCACAATTTTAGTTGCTGGTTAAATAACTTTACTTATATATATTTTATGCTATTGTAATTACGTTCAGAAGAGGAAACATCTTACAGAATACATTTTGTTACATTTCTCCAAATATGGGGCTACTTCAAATAACATGTGGGGTTTGCTTCAGTTTCTCTGTGCAAGAAACTACTTGGCGGCCCTGTCTTCTAGACTGAATTATGTGCACCGATATGCATTTTCCAACATACCAATCATGTTTCCATATTCCTGAAGCAATTATCTCTCCAACCCAACAATATTCAAAATCCATTAATATACATAACTTTTGGCATTTATATCAGCTATTAGAGATTCCACCCCACCGTGCGACGGCTGCATCATACATACATACATAAATAACTATGTAGGTAAGAACCATATCTGCTAACTAATACGTTATATACGCCTAGTGCTACAAAAAGTTTGTGTGAGAAATTCAAATTAATTTTACATAGAGCTCCTGGAGACATCTAACGCATAATCGTTTCACGTGGGAGCAGTTTTCTCTTTCTTTTACACGGAATTTGCTATTACATTATCCTATATGTAGTTGTCTATTTTCAATCAAATATTAGTTGGACTCGTATTCCTCGGACTCGGACTAGTAAAACTGTCAAAAAATAAAAATTCGCTCAGAGCGAGAGAGTAACATTGAAAAGTACGGGATCGCTTTCTAGTAAAAAATGGTAACTTCTGTCAACTTCAACATAACCTCCAAATTTTGGTTGTAAATTTTTGCTTATTTTGTATGTAAACACGCTCAGCTCACACATGTAAATAACCAAAAATACTTTGAAATTCATTAGAATCCACTTAAACAAGTAATTAAATACTTTTCAACATGAATTAGCAGAGTGCACTTTTGTTTTGTTTACAATTTGGTTGCCAAACACACTACAGCTGATCGTTTGACACATTTACTAGACCATTTACCAGCAAAAAATTCTCGGACTAAAACTGGTAACTTCTGACAGAGAGAGAACCGTATTTACTCTCTTTTTTGTCCTCTCAATAGTCAGAGAACCGAGTACGGGATCGATTTCCAGTAAAATCTGACTGATTCTGACTATTTCTGACTAGTCCGGACTCGTACGGGATCGCAACTATTATTATGCGTTTAATAACGTGTTATATAACGCAAAGAATGGCATATGGATATCGCTAATATGCAAATGTGTTGGTTCTTATTGACAATTTTGTAATTGGATTGGAGAATGCGTTAGGTCGTTCTTGTTGGGATGCATATTGTACATTAGGGCGGTTCAAAAATATATGCGGGGGAGGTAAATTTGAAATGTTAATCTCTCACTCCCATAAGCAGACACCGATGGTCACCTACTTTTTGTCTGCCTATGGGAGATGCGGGTATCTAAATTAAAATAACCCTATAAATATTTTGCATATCGAACTGAGAACGAGCTCATAACCAATCTTAGTTTTCCAACGTTCATAGTATATTGGAAATACACTCGAGGTGGGTTCGGAAAAAAATAAAAACCATAGTAACAAGAGAGGAAGTGAAATCTAGCTCATTTTCGAAGGGAAATATAAGACAATCACTCTCTCTTATTAAATTTTCAATTCGATAATGGGCTGGATTTCGAATTCATAACGAAGGAAAAATACATTGGATAACGAAGGTTCCGTTTTGCTGGAGAGTGGCCTAGTTTTCGAATCGAATACTAATTAATTCCACATTAGTTATCGAAGGTGAGCCTGATGTTTATTGGGAGTATTTATTCTCCAATAAAACAGGAAAAATTAAAAATAAATTCAAATTTATGGCGTTTTCTTTCCTACTGACAAATCTCATTGCCCGCTTCGCTCAAGCAGCACGAAGAGGTTAACGAAAAGGCAACACATTTTCTAGAAAAGAAAATATCTTTGAATATGGATTATGTTCTTGTGTACATATACATACATACATATGTACAAGCGCAAGAGTCAACATCTGACTGAAAAAAAAAAACAAAATTGACCGCTTGTTGCAGCCTCGCGTCCGTTTATGGGAGATTTTTTTCATAACTGGACATTTTTAAGTGTCCGCGTCCGTTCATCGGAAAGTGCGTGTATGGGATAGTGTTTTGTATGGAAAAAACTAAAAATTGTTCGCTCCCAAGAATGTGTCCGCTTATAGGAGATGTCCACTTATTAGAGCGTCCGTCTTTAAGAGCTTTCATAGTACCCGTATATTTTTGTTAAAAAATTATGAAGCTTCCGTGTATTTTATATGGGAAAAAACACTGTTTCGAAGAAATGGCATATAGTTCTTGAAAATTAATATTCGAAGTTAGACGAAGTTAGGCAATTTAAGCCGAAATACGGCTTGAATTTAATATGTGTGTATGTACCGGAAGTGCAGATTTTTTGGGCAGCGTGGCTAAGGAGTTCATCTATATTTACTCAAAATTGATATATACAATGGCTCTTATTTCATGACTTTTTTTTGTAGCACCGTGTAATCAAAAATTGTTTATACCCGCATTTTGAAACACTGGTTTGAATGTGCCATCTAATAGGCGGCATACACGGTGCGTCTGACTAGCGGGATATTTGTGTACGTATTGACTCGCCTTCGACTACACACAGCTGAATCATTCAGAGTCATGACCGGAGTCACGTTGGTGTAACTAACCCATATATATTTTCACAAACACATCCAAACCGACTCCCGAGCCAGTTAGCAATTAGCAACAAGAGTTTACGGGATGTACATAGCTCAGTGGTTAACGCTTCTGACTTTGAACATCGAATTCGCAGGTTCGATCCCTGCTGAAGTCTGATGAAGAGATGTGGTGATCTCCGAAATAGCTGCTATAACTTCTACCGCTTAGACTTTGTTGCTTTTTCAATTTTTCCTAATAAACAATCGTGGTACAAAGCTCAATAAAAATATTAAAAATAACATGTTAGTAAGCCACAATAAAATTGACAAATATAAATTAATTTCACTGGATTAAAAAATATAATTTCACACAGAGAATTTTTCACAAATACAATATTTTTTTATTTTTCCTATTTTTTATAAAAAACATAGTTCATACTATAACAAAAACATAAAAATTTAATTTCTAAACTCTTTAAAACTCAATGTTGTCATTGTCCATGCTTCTGCGCCATATACCAGCACGGGCATGATGAGTGACTTATAGAGTGTGGTTTTCGTACGTCGAGAGAAGACTTTCCTCCTGAATTGCGTACTCAGTCCAAAGCAGCACTTGTTGGCAAGAGTGATTCTGCGTTAGAGTTCCATGCCGACATTATTATCGGTGTTTATGCTGGTTCTCAAGTAACTTTCTCGAAATTGTAACTGTCAACAGTGACGTGGGTGCGAAGGAGCGAATGTGCTGACTGTTTGTTTGATGACAGGAGATACTTCGTCTTGTCCTCGTTTACCACCAGACCCATGCGCTTTGCTTCCCTATCCAACTTGGAAAAGGCAGAACAGACTTCGCGGTTTTTGTTACCGATGATGTCGATGTCATCGGCATAAGCCAGCAATTGCACGCT